GTTCTTATCTAGCCGATACCCTTGCTGATATCTTATTGTAGATGTTGTTTTTTTAATATGCACTGTCCTGAGAAATGAATAAATAAATAGAAAATAGGGCAAAAAGCATGAACATTTCCACACAAAAAAAAATCATGATTTAGATTATTCTAAGAATGCTGCCAGACACAAATATGACGGGTAATAATGAAAATATCAGAAAACATTCATTTTTAAGGCGGGTTTGAGACTTGAATACTGGGCATTGTTTGTTTTCCAATGTAAGCCTGTATTATCCAAAATAACTGGTCTTCTGTGTGATTCTTTGAATCTTAAGTAAGTTCATGCCAGAGTTTCATTGCTTGAAATATAGCAAAGGGTTTTGAAACTTCCCATACCAGAGGTCATCCTAAAAATCCTCAACGTTTTAAAGAAAGATGGATGATGGCACCCAATTCCCAGTTGTAAAAGGAAATGCTGTGGCACATCCATCTTTTTTGTTAGATTAAATTTGTGGCTGTTAACGGCTGAATGTTCAGGATGCTTTCGAAAAGCTTTTTCCAGTTGATGCGCGTCAGACAAAGAGCAATAAAAGCTGCCTTCCCTTGTCAGACTCGTTTCTATGTCATATTGCAGGCATTTAGTTGACACTCTCATCCACAATGACTAACAGTAAGTGCAACGGCAGAATAAGCTTCCTCCATCACTATGCACAGCCAATAGCAAATAGATTAAAGGTCAGAGATCACAGCATGGTAGAAAGTATCCCTGCAAGTACCACGTAATCATGAAGAAAAGAGGAAAGTGAGGCGCAAAAATAAGAAGTGCAGGGAGAGGCAGGAAATGCACACACATACACACTAAAAAACCCACACACGCATTTTAACACATTACAATCAGTTGTATCCTCTGGCACTGTCTTTCTCCGTTTCCTCTTACCCATGGTGGACGAAGTACTCAGATCCGTTACTTCAGTAAAAGTACCAGTACCACTGTGTAAAAATACTCCATTCCTAGGAAAAGTCCTGCATATCAAATCCTACATTGAAATGCATTGAATCTGAATCCGTGTATGGTTTGTTCTTTGATTATTTTGTTTCAAAACCGAACTGGAAAAAACAAAAAACAGATAAACAGAAAAAGAAAAAACAGACATTGGGTTTTGTTTTTCTGTTTTAAAACCAAAACAGAAAAAATATTGATTTTGATATTTAATGTGATTTGTGTAGCTTTGTGTGTTACCCTTGATAAACCTGCAGCAGATACACTTGGGCGAGGTTTTTAGTTAGAAAAACTGGACAATATTATATAGCTGCAGTAGGGAGGCTGTAGCCGCGGAAAAACCGTGGATAAACACATTCAGGTATTTTTTATGATCGCTCAGGTAACCAGCTGCTTCTGATCCGACCAAAACAAAATGCTCTTCCTTAATGCTGACGTACTTACGCTAGAAATTGGAGTGTTTGAGGCTCTGAAATAAAGAGCCCACTTCTACAATCACATTCGCCACAGTTGATATGAGATGTGACGCGACCTGAAAAGAAATAACCTCATATAAAAAATTATAAAAATATGTAGCCTAATATTGACTTTTTGTTTCACAGGATACACGAACACAAGTCTCCTGATTCAAAGGTCCTGGCCCTCCCTTCACGCCAGCCATGTTCTAACTCAGTCTTTTCTATTAAACATCATATACCTACCTTTACCGTTACAAACTGACGCTACAGGGCTTCCCCCACTGTGTTGACCTATGACGCTATAGGGATCCCCAGTGCGTTACAAACGCCAATAGGCCTTGACCACATGTCCATATGTGACGAATCGGGGAGTGAGAACGGGTTTAAGGGATACAACAACGGTGAAACATAGAACAAAACGCAGCTCCTTCATTTTCCGTTTTGGTTTTAATACAGAAAAAACAAAAAACGACTTGGTTTTTTGTTTTCCAAAGGGACTAGAGATAAATCTGAATGGTCATGAGACAAAGAATGGGAGAAGTAAGAAGAAAAAAGTTCTGATACACAAATTTGGATAAATATTTCTCTTAACTTTGCTTTTCAGTAAAATATTAGAGTTTTACCACTTTGATCAAAAGGTAGGTAAAAACTGGTTTACTATTTAAACATTTATTTTATAATCTTATTGTATATGTATTTATGCAAAAGTTTATTATGAAAACATACTATATCTGTCAAATAAATATAGTGCAGTAAAAAGTACATTGTCCTCTGAGATGTAGTGTAGAAGTATACAGTGACAAATAATGGAAATACAAGTAAAGTGCAAGTGAGTAAATATACTAAGGTACATTCCACAACTGTCCTTAACATTTAGAACAATTCACAGCCCTGTGTGTGTGTGTGTGTGTGTGTGCACGCACTTGTGCCACAGTGTTTGCACGAGAAATATTGTGTTCATGTGTCTCGTTCTAGGTGTGCATGTGTTTGTACATTGTGTGTAACTTGGTGCATCTTTGTGTGTTTGACTGTTTGGCAGATACACTCCCTGACAAGGTGTTGTCTGACACCTCTTTTCTGTCTGAATGCTTTCATAAAGTCATGTGAAAGCCTGTCTCTTCCTGAGAACACACACACACAAACACATGCACAATCTTGTTACCAGGTAGAGTTTACTATAATAAGTAAAGAGTCTGCAGTAGTAAACCTGTCTGCCTCTCGCTTTGTGAATAAGAGGAGAAATGTGCATTACTGTCACTGCTCAGTATGACCTGACAGGCAGGTATTTACTTTTCCTGAAGTTACCCTGTCAGTGGCTTGCTAAGTGATGTCTTCTGGATGCTGTGTAGTAAATATGTACAAACATGCACAACTGCAGTGCTTTCCAGAAGTATTTGGGCAGTGACACTTTACTGTCTTCATTTCTCCAACACATTGGATTTTAAATGTAACGCGACTATTGCTAAGTGCTAATTTCCAGTTGTTATGCAGTTACACTACAGTTTATACATATTAGTATAGTATATTATTCTATAGTGCTCCCCAATTTAGGTGACCAAAATTAATCCAACAATGTTCTGTTAAAATGTGCCTTTGGTAGGTGTTCTTCATCCACAACAGAACTAAGTTAAGTTTGAGTGCTGATTGTAGGTGTAACATTCGGAGTCTCTCACCACATGGACTAAATAATTGTCAGTACCAGTACAGCAGGCTGTCTTGACACTAAAAAATAAAATAAAAATTAATAAGGTTCTTGATATTTTCTTTAGTGCCAAGTCAGTCAGATGGCTGCATTACACTGAACATTGAACCTTTTAAGTTTGTTGTTTTGTTTTTGCTTAAAATTAAGGCTTAAAGTTGACACTCTAATCTCAAAGTAATTGTTTCATTTCAAGTGCAATGTGCTTCATTAAAGAGCCAGGACAACAGAAAAAATGTGTCTCTGTACAAATACTTACAAGCTGCACTGAACCTCCCTAACCCAGTAAATCATCTAGACATCAGGTAAAAGTTTTCCCCTGACAGGAGACAGTTGGTCCATTGACATTGAATTAGTAATTGACTTTGTAAGCTAATAGTCTTTTAGTTTGAAGTATTCCATCCAAATGAGTTTGATTTGAATGCAGGGCTCCCAGCAATGAGTCAGAAAATGTGCCCATAACCCAAGAGCATGGTGGCTGCTGTGATTTTGTCTCAGCAGTTATTCCATTATTCACTGTGTACAGGGCTGCTTTGAGATTTACCTGGCATCATTACAGCTTCTCTGTCTCCTGTTAAGGATGAGACTAAATTCACAAATTACAGCTGAGCTGCACAACATTAAAGTAGTTCTTGAAAGTCAACACTAATAGTTAAACTTACCTCGATGTGTCTTTCGTAGCATTTTGGAGCATCAAAAAGTTGATTATAAACTCAGCAGAAACTCTGATTAACTTTTATATATAAGTAATAATCTACAACATTTCATGTAATGGAACAGTTGATGATCACAGCAATAGGTTAACTGAAACTATGTTCATGATAAAAGAGTAATGTACTGTTAAGTATCACATTAAATATCTATTTCTAAGCTACATTTATTTGTCTAGTTATATATAACCCGTCTGATTTGATGCAAATCAGCACTACTTTTCATTTTACATTTTCAGAAAGTGACTTTTAGTTCAGTTCTTGCTGTTTGTACTCATCAGCAAAACCTGATATATATAAAACTGACTTCAGCCTTTCAGAAGATAAGAAATCTATAAGAATGCCACATGTCAAACTTTATTGTTGTGAATGTCCTTCATGATACAATTTTCTAGAGAAAGCAGCGGGTCTCATTCTGGCACACAGGGAAAAAGCCCAGAATTAGATTTTGGGTAACTTAATATTTGAGTTGATGAGTCAGATGGAATAGGAGTTGGTTCCCAGATATTTGAAACTTTTGCCTCACTAAATAATAGAATTTAACGATGAGAAATGGAACGTTCAATATGCATAATCTTCTTCCATTCTTCTTTTTCTTCCTTTCTCCTTCCTCTATACTTTTTTGACACACATTCTTTTTCTTTGGATATTTTGCTTCAGTTCCACATGCAAGCTGCTTTAGTTGTATCTGAAGTAATATTTTCATGAAAATTCAGGACTGTTTTTATGGATACATTTTTCTGTTTTTAATGTTCTGCACAGTAGATCAGAGCTTGCTTTATTTACACTTTTCACTTTATTGTTGCTATGTGTTTAACTTGGGTTGGTAAAATAGAGCATTGCAATGTTAGTAAATCATTAACACGTTAATTCTGAGACTCTACTATGCTTATCATGAATAAATATGATTGTTGCTGAGATGGTTAGCAGCTTCCCCCATTCCACACTGTTTAACCCTTTCCAGTTGTATTTGGCTGAAAATCTGCTTAAAACAACCAAGTGCGTTATTACACATCAAACTGTCAAATTTTATTAGTATAAAATACATTTGTTGCCAAAGCTTTTGTTGCATTCGATACAGACAGTACATTTAATAGAACTTATTAATGTCAAGAGGCATTACAATTTTTTGTGTACTCTCTGTGTCTGCAGTACCTGGCTCAGTGCCGATGGAGTCTCTACAGAATACACCCTATGAAGAGAAGATCTTCATGCAGTGGAAAGCTCCCAACGAGACCAATGGGGTCATCACACTGTATGAGGTCAGTCAAAAACTTCCAACAATGTTCATATTCAGCGGCGACTATGCAAGATTGTGATACAGGTTGTTGGTTTAAATCTATGCAATGGGCAGCACAGTTCTGAAACTGAGTGGCTTAAATATACTGGGTTGCCAGTTTATAAGGCACACTTGTGTGATATACTACAATCCAGTACAAGGGCCCATTATTAAAGCCTATCTTTGTGAACTGATAATGATCCATTTTTGACAAACAGATGGCTAAATTGAAAATGTGGTCACATTTTGAGGCTATAGCTTGTAGTGTTGTATTATATTCCATCATATTGACAAACAAGTGTGAACTCATAATGGAATTTAATGAAAATATATTTAACAATCAACAGAATGCAACTGGATAAGCATGTTATTATTAATTATCCTCATTACTGTCATGCTAAATAACAATTCTATCTATCCATCCATCGTCAAACGCTTATCCTGCGTACAGGGTCGCGTGGGGCTGGAGCCAATCCCAGCTTATGCTGGGCGAGAGGCAGGGTACACCCTGGACAGGTCGCCAGTCCATCGCAGGGCTAAATAACAATTTCTACTTACAATTTATGGTCCCATCTAAGAACTTACTTTCAACTGGTGATTCACTTTTATATCATTTGAAATTAGGAGTTGATTGATTGTCCAGCTGTGTTTAACTTTTTTGTTCCTATATTGGAGCTTCTCTTCCTGCCTTAAGGCATTTCCACGTAGGCACATGGAAGGGCAAAGAGGTGATCCCAGAACAGAGCCCTACCGCCATACTTAACTTACTGCGGCGTAAATATCAGTTTCTTTGATGAAAGGTTTCCTGACTTAACTGTATTTAATGACAATACTGGATAACATTTGATCTTCTCCTTGTAGTGTGTCAAAGTTTACTGACAAACACACACAAAACACTGAGGGCCTTTCTTTCTCAATTGGATTGAATTTTGGACTGAAACTATTGGGTTGTGACAGTGTGTGAAGTAAAGGATTGAAGGTTTGATCCCAGGTTTTATGCTGATCTCATGTCCCAGATCTCTCATTTCACCTTGGTTGGCTTTCCAGCAGCTTTCTGTGTGATTACAACAGCAGCAGAAATTCCAGAATATGTCTGTCACAATGTCTGAAGCCACAAACCACTTAGACCTCTGTCAGCCACCACTGCAAAGAGGCAGAGACCGAGCCGCCAAAAAAGCTAGACATGAGAGAGGAAGGGGGAAGGAAATGTAGGAGACAGAAGATGAAATATATGAACAGGATGGAGAAAGAAAGAAAGGAGTGAAGGGAAAGAGATCATTGTATTTTTATAAAATGAGTATATTTATTTGCAGAGAATTTTACAATATGACAGGATGCCAACGCATCCTCATTTCAGACCGACAGAGTAGATTGCCACTGACACCCAAAACAACATATGACTGTTGTAAAGTACCAGCAACAGGCATACAGAACCTTAAGTATGTTAAGGGGGGGTTTCACAAAGTCACATGTGACTTAACTAAATGTCACCTATGTAATGTAATTTAACTTAAAACTTTAAATAAGTTTCACAGGGGATGTGAGGACAGGCTACATGTTGCATGAAAAAAGAGCAAGGAGCTCAAGCAATATTTTGGGCAATTTTTTCAGGAAGTTTGTGTGTGTGAATGTATGTGTGTGTGTATATATATACACACAGGTGCTGGTCATATAATTGGAATATCATCAAAAAGTTGATTTATTTCAGTAATTCCATTCAAAAAGTGAAACTTGGATATTATATTCATTCATTACACACAGACTGATATATTTCAAATGTGATGATTAATTTAATTGTGATGATTAAAACTGACAACTAATGAAAATCCCAAAATCAGTATCTCCGAAAATTAGAATATTTGAAGACCAATACAAAAAAAGGATTTTCAGAAATGTTGGTCAACTGAAAAGTATGAACATGAAAAGTATGAGCATGTACAGCACTCAACACTTAGTTGGGGCTCCTTTTGCCTGAATTACTGCAGCAATGCGGTGTGGCATGGAGTCGATCAGTCTGTGGCACTGCTCAGGTGTTATGAGAGCCCAGGTTGCTCTGATAGTGGCCTTCAGCTCTTCTGCTTTGTTGGGTCTGGCGTATCGCATCTTCCTCTTCACAATACCCCATGGATTTTCTATAGGGTTAAGGTCAGGTAAGTTTGCTGGCCAATTAAGAACAGGGATACCATGGTCCTTAAACCAGGCACTGGTAGCTTTGGCAATGTGTGCAGGTGCCAAGTCCTGTTGGAAAATGAAATCTGCATCTCCATAAAGTTGATCAGCAGCAGGAAGCATGAAGTGCTCTAAAACTTCCTGGTAGACGGCTGCGTTGACCTTGGACCTCAGAAAACACAGTGGACCAACACCAGCAGATGACATGGCAACCCAAACCATCACTTACTGGATTCTGTGCCTCTTCTCTCTTCCTCCAGACTCTGGGACCATGATTTCCAAAGGAAATGCAAAATTTACTTTCATCAGAGAACATAACTTTGGACCACTCAGCAGCAGTCCAGTCCTTTTTGTCTTTAGCCCAGGCGAGTCGCGTTTGACGCTGTGTCATGTTCAAGAGTGGCTTGACACAAGGAATGCGACAGCTGAAACCCATGTCTTGCATACGTCTGTGCGTGGTGGTCCTTGAAGCACTGACTCCAGCTGCAGCCCACTCTTTGTGAATCTCCCCCACATTTTTGAATGGGTTTTGTTTCACAATCCTCTCCAGGATGCTGTTATCCCTATTGCTTGTACACTTTTTTCTACCACATCTTTTCCTTCCTTTCGCCTCTCTATTATTGTACTTGGACACAGAGCTCTGTGAACAGCCAGCCTCTTTAGCAATGACCTTTTGTGTCTTGCCCTCCCAGTGCACGGTGTCAATGGTCGTCTTTTGGACAGCTGTCAAGTCAGCAGTCTTCCCCATGATTGTGTAGCCTACAGAACTAGACTGAGAGAAGAATTTAAAGGCCTTTGCAGGTGTTTTGAGTTGATTAGCTGATTAGAGTGTGGCACCAGGTGTCTTCAATATTGAACCTTTTCACAATATATAATAATTTTCTGAGATACTGATTTTGGGGTTTTCATTAGTTGTCAGTTATAATCATCAAAATTAAAAGGAATGAACACTTGAAATATATCAGTTTGTGTGGGATGAATGTATACATTATACAAGTTTCACTTTTTGAATGGAATTACTGAAATAAATCAACTTTTTGATGATATTCTAATTATATGACCTGCACCTGTATATCCCCCTCTCACCCCTTGCGGGGTGGTATGTGTCATCCTGAAGCTCGGTTTCCTCTACCAGAGGCCTGGGAGTTTGAGGGTTCTGCACTCTTCTGGACAGAGACCTCTGATGTTTTACCTGAAATCTGCTGTAGCCACTCTCCCAGTTTGGGGGTCACAGCCCCCAGTGCTCTAATTACCACTGGCACTACTGTTGCTCTTACTTTCCACATCTTTTCCAGCTCCTCTTTCAGCCCTTGGTATTTCTCAAGCTTCTCATGTTCCTTCTTCTTGATGTTGCTGTCGCTTGGGATTGCCACATCTATCACTGCAGCCTTCTTCTGCTGTTTTGTCAATCAACACGATGTGTGGTTGGTTAGCTATTACCAGTTTGTCAGTCTGGATCTTGAAGTCCCACAGGATCTTAGCTTGTTCATTCTCAACTACCTTAGGAGGTGTCTTCCATTTTGACCTTGGGACTTCCAGCCCAAACTCATGGCAGATGTTCCTGTACACTATGCCAGCTACCTGGTTATGGCGTTCCATGTACGCACTTCCTGCCTGCATCTTACACCCTGCTGTTATGTGTTGTACTGTCTCAGGGGCATCCTTACACAGTCTGCACCTGGGGTCCTGTCTGGTGTGATAGACCCCAGCCTCTATTGATCTTGTACTGAGTGCCTGTTCTTGTGCCGCCATGATTAGTGCTTCTGTGCTGTCCTTTAGTCCAGCCTTTTCCAGCCACTGGTAGGATTTCTTGATATCAGCCACCCAGCATCCCTAGAATCACTGTTGCTGTGGCATACATCAGCTCATTGGTCTCGGTTATGGCTTTAGTAAGGATAGTATGTAGTGCTGCATTCACATCTTCTAGCAGACTTTCAGAGAGTACTTTGTCATTTAGCTTTGGCAATCTTGGTCATTGTACTTGGGGGTCCAGCTTGGTTGATGATGATGATCTTTAATCGTATTTCAGTTACCCTTATTTTGAGTGGTTCTGTGCCGTAAGGGCTTGTTGTTATTGGGGCTTAGGACCCAATCTCTGAGTGTGGGGATGATGATGACATCTCCACGCTGACCGGTCGTCCTGGCTCCCCCTTGCCGTAGCATATTTGCTCATTAATCTCTTGTTGTAATAGGAGCTGCCGTTTGCGGATGTTAGAACACTGAACTAGGAGTTGTTTCTTTGTCAGTGTTGATGATGGGTTGCGAAGCATCTATATACAGTGGGGGAAATAAGTATTTGACCCCTTGCTGATTTTGCAGGTTTGCCCACTTACAAAGAATGCAACGATCTATAATTTTAATCATATGTACATTCTAACAGTGAAAGACAGAATCCCAAAGAAAATTCCAGAAAATCACATCATATGAATTTATAAAAATTGATAACCATCTGATGAGGAAAAACAAGTATTTGACCCCCTGGACAAACAGCATGTTAATATTTTGTAGAAAAGCCATTATTGGCCAGCACAGATGTCAAACGGTTTTTATAGTTGGTGACAAGGTTTGTGCACATTTCGGCAGGGATGTTGGCCCACTCCTCCCTGCAGACAGCCTCCAAATCATTCAGGTTCCGAGGTTGTCGCCTGGCAACTCGAATTTTAAGCTCCCTCCAAAGATTTTCAATTGGATTCAGGTCTGGAGACTGGCTAGGCCACTCCAGAACCTTGATGTGCTTCTTCTTCAGCCACTCTTTTGTTGCTTTGGCGGTGTGCTTAGGGTCGTTGTCGTGCTGAAACACCCATCCTCGACCCA